AATTACGAGTCACGAAACGGGGTGTCGTATGGTCTCGTACTCATGTTGTGGCATCACGGGACGAGTTCGGCTTGGTGCGGGTTTACATTGGGATGTGTAGATCTAGGCCAAGTTCGGCTCCGAGCCGGCGCTCGGCATGGCGGACCGAACCACGAGCCCTCGACCGCAACCCACATGTTAGGCGAATGTTCTAGAGATCTTGATTACACAAGCAAGACACGCCTTTGGGCTTGATTGCATGGACTAATGAAATCAAGATCATAAACCGGCTTATGCGACCCATGATGTGTGATCACTAAATGAAAGAAGAAGACCGTCGTCACATAGTGTTGGCGGCGATGCCTTGGTAAACTAGCGCAGGGATGTCCTAGTTGAGCTAGGATGCCTAGGTTAAGCCCGGATGCCTCGGCAAACTAGTGTCGGGATGCCCTAGTTGAGCTAGGATGCCTTGGTTGAGCCCGAATGTCTCGGGTGAGCTAGCCCCAGGATGCCTCGGTTGAACCGGGATGCCTTGGTTGAGCCCGGATGCTAAGCATGAAGGTGGATGCCCTGGTTGAGCCAGGATGATGATAAATGAATCTTATATGTATGTCAGTATGTGTATTTATTGATAAGCTGCAGGATTCTGGAGGATGCTTCACGTATAAATTTTCTTGTATATTTTTATGTGACCGGATAAATGTGAGCTTCCATGTATACATAGCAAGGGCAAGGACAAAGTCTTTGCTATTGATTTGCCATTGACATAAGGCGGGGAAAATATTTGTATGTATTAGTACAATGGCGAGGCATCATCCTGCACGAGTATTAGTGAATTTACTCATTGAGTCTCCTCGACTCATTCCCTGTTGCTTTTCATTTTCGGGTCCGTAAGATGGAGGATGACATAGAGGAATTAGGATTAACCTCGGCCTTCGCTTGTGATATGATTTGTACGTCAGAGCGGCTCGTGGAAAAAAAGGACTTGTAAAATATGTTTAAGTAAAATGGCAATAATGTGTCTTGCCTGGTTTCCAAGAGTAAGATAAGGATGTTACATATTTATACAAGGTTTGCTCATGATGCTTGTCATAACCCCGTTATTTATTCTTATTGTGATTGTCCCAAATTAATTGCTTCCGCTTACGCTTAGTCAAAGATAATAACAAACGGGACGTCGCACAAATAACCCCGAGGTGGGGGCGTTACACGAAGAGTTGGAATGGATGATGGGCACAATGACTTGGTTTAAACGTCATGTCAAGGTGGAGATTGTTGTATGTATGTCTCGAGTTTAAGTCTATCAATGAAAGCTTCATCTTAAGTAAAAAGTTCCAAATTTGGATAGGTCTTATGGTTTGACATCCAAAACAAGTACGAAGCTATTAAAATACTTTGAATTTCTAGTTTGAGTAGGCTTCCTAGTTTGAGTTAGCAAGTCACATAAGAACATATAAAAATGAAATGTATAGGAGTAAACAACAGGAATGTTAGGGTTTTCTCTCGATAAGTTTTTCCCGAGTGAGCTCTCTATGAGAAAATGTAAGATAACACTTGTGCCTTGACTTTGGATGTAATCTAGGACTAGGAAACATTTAAGCCCTTGAACAATTGTATCCGTGTAATTCTATGGATTCATAGTGGATTTTTTTTTTGCGATTGGCTCTCCCTGTGAAATAGGTACTAACACTAGAACAAAGCAACATAAATCTGTAGTGTCCTTATCGTTCACTATTTGATTTTTCTAGTTGTTTTGTTCTTCTCACTCACGTTTGACTTAAATTGCAAAATACGTTAACTTTCGCGTTATTTCATAGCATAGAGGTTACCCATTTAGTGAGCTGTTGGGTAAAGCTTAACAAGTGGTGGTTTTCAAATGACAATTGGATGAGATGTTGGGTAAAGCATAGGCATCTGCGAAGAGCATTTAACTGCTGCACATAGATCACCCATACCTTCGAATCTAGGCGGCGCGCACTGCGCCATTGGCCTTCCGCCATGACAACTTAACCCTTAATGCCATCAAGTACATGGTAGGGTCCATTATCGCATTCCGCGAGGCTAAGAAATTATATTCTTGGGTGTGTTCTTGAACATCTATAGGCTGACTCAAGTAGCCGGCGAGAGAGGTTGGTGGCAATTCCTCGACCAAACACCAGCATGCTTCTTTCGTTTCTTGGTACCCTTCGTCCTACAATGTTTGGAGGAATAAATTATTTTACTTGGAAACTCCAAGCGGACAAAGGAATGTCCTGACAGAGTCGGTTGATCTAAATAAAGACCATTACAAGCATCAACTTCGTCAGCACGAGCTGACCCTTCCGCCTACCCCCCAACCTGCAGCTGGTGCTGACCACCAGGAATTCGGGTAGGCCACTCCCCTCAAGCCCTGATGTCAACCTCTGTGGCACTCCCACCATTCTCATCCCTGAAAAAGATGAAACTGCTGGAGCTGATGCTGTCAGTGGAGGAGATGGTGTTGCTGACCATGGGCCGACTGATGCTGGTGAAACCACCAGCACCGGAGGAGGGCAACGGTAGGAAAAGTAGACGAGGTGATGATTTCAAGATTTTCTTTTTGCCAGATCTTGTCAAACCTATCAATATAACAACAATCGAATATTTCAAAAATGTCGAACATCTGCCTCATTTTCACTAGCTGCTTCTTATCAGCCATACCTATCTCTTCCCCCACGAATAGAACTCCTAGGCTTCGTCATCCAGAGAAGGAGGCTATCTTCATGGAGTGTTCCCGGCAGCCAAAGGCAGTTGCCTTATGAAAGTACTAAGAAAGTTTGAAGGGATTTGTGCGGCCAAAGGCTGTCACAGCAAAACCATGTTCCCGGTGGCAAAAGGTTGTCGCCATAGGGGAACACTTAGACAGTCTGTAGGGACTTGTGTGGCCAAAGGTAATCACAGCAGACCGTGTCCCGGGCGGCCAAAGACTGTTGCCATAGGGAAACGCTTAGAAAGTTTGTGTGTAATGACAAAGAGCTAGATTCGAGACTGATGCACTGTTCTTTGTTCATTACGCAAGTCAACAGAAAGGCCAGTAATAAAGCCGTACAAAATTGCCTACATTCCAAGTGCGAAGATTCACGTGCCATTGTGCCGTGCGCGTCGCTAGTTTATATGGCCCGTTACTAATTACTTCTTTCGTAATCAGCAAGCCATGCCATTAGGAGCCAATTTTTTAAGCTCTGCAGATGATGTCGCGGCTTCAGACTTTCTGAGGACCAGGTTGCCCATGCTGAACTCCTGATGGCGCAAAGAACATTGTTGATACCTGACGAGTCGTGCTTTATGCTTCGCTGATCTTAGGCAGCATTGACTGCCTTTTTTCAACCAAACTGAGGTTCATTCTTAATATATCGTCATGTCTCCTCTCCAAAACTGTTCAACATAGCCAGACGAAGAACCTTTCATGATGAAATTACCGCTTCAGTCCCGCAGGCCAAATTAAACGGAGTTTCGCCTGTCATGTTCTTCGAGGTCGTCCGATAGGCACATAAGATGCTTGGCAGCTCGTTAACCCAGCTCTTTTGAGAATTGTTAATCCTCTTCTTGATCGCATCTACAATGATCTCGCTGACAGCTTCTGTCTACCCACTAGTCTGTGGATGGCAACCTACGAGTATTCATGACAAATCTTTAATTCCTTGAAGAACTTTCTGAACTTCGGGTTGTCGAACTGCTTCCTATCATCTGTGGTCAAGACAGTTGGAATGTTGAACAAACAAACGAAAAGCTGCCATACGAAGCTCTATGCTCTCTTCTCAACTATAGTAGCTAGCGCTTCAGCCTCTGCACAATTGGTGAAATAATCCACTGCAACTGTTACAAAACTTCTGCCCCAGAGGCAAATGTGGAAGGTCCCACAATCTCAACTCCCCACTGGCAAAAGGGCCAGGGAGAAGGGTATCGGAACCAGTTCACTGGGTGGCAGCCAACGAATTTTCGTGTGGTTGTGGCTGGCTTCGCATCAACGACCATATGCCTCGACATCTTTCATAATGTAATTAAGCCGTAAACCGATAGAGATATATGCAATTTAGGCCGCCATAAGAATAACTTCCGATTGACATGGGACAGTTTTCAATAATGGTCACAAAAAGGACTATATTGTACTTTCTAAAAAAGATTTAGGAATTTTTTTTTGGTCGATAAAAAAAAGATTTAGGAATTAATTGCATCATTCTAAATGTTTAAGACCTGATTGATTTTTGTACAAAAGATTTCAGCACTTCTGGTGTACCTTTCTCTTAGTTTCACAAAAGTCCATTTGATCCAAATTATCAGTGTCATAGTATTGTCAAGATTGAATTGCTGTAATTAAAGGATGTGATATCTTAAAATGCAATAATCAGATTTTGGGCAAATCAGATATCCATAAAAGGTTTTTCGCAGGTACTACCATATGACATCCTTTCAATCGGTTTTTCAATTGTAAGAGTGTCGATCAAATTTAGTAAAATTTGAGATGACTACAAAATCGTACAACAAAAACCTTCATTAGTTGTTGGAATGAAATGCATCAAATTAACACCTGATCATTCTCAACCCTTTCATAGGAAATAGAAAAACTTCTAGTTTGACAATGTCGCCTATGGATACTTCTCATTCACAAAGGGAACATCAGTCAAACAAAGGATATAATCTGAGTGATTGTTTTCTTTTTGGTTTCTATTAATTAAGTCAACCTCTTCGAAATTTTAGACAAATGTCTCTTCTACAACAAACTAACATATAAGTTATGTCGAATAGCGACGCCTCAAAAACCGCTCCACACAAATAACTCTTAAAACTACATTACTCCCAAGTTCATCTAATGCATTCTATATTTCATTATCTTAATTACATTCATTAACTTAATTATGTTCATATTCCGCGGCACCATTCATATATCGTTATTCAAGAAAGCCGGAGATGTTTCATACTGAAATCGCTAACTTAAGTAGAGTTTTTCATCATCTTCCTGGTTCCATTCGCTTGTATAGCAGTACAAAAAGGAAGTTCTAGATATGGCTAAGAACACTCTCCTTTGTTGCATCCTCGCCATCGCATGCACTTTCGTGGTGGCCTCTGATCCCGCGCCCTTGCAAGATTTCTGTGTTGCAGATTTCAATAGTCCAGGTTAGCACCATCTCTACCATATTCTCGTTCTGAATCTGCTTATCTTCATGCGATTGATTTACGAAAACTGGTTTATTAAGGAATCTGGAAAAATTTAACTGTGTATTATTAACTTATAGCAAAAGAAAAAGTAAGTATCATAAGAAGTGTGAGTCAATCTCAAGCACGGAAGTCTGAACTAATGCTATGAATATTGTCAAATAGTTCTAGTTTTCTTCTAGACATGTTTACTGACGACTTCTCATGTTTTTTTTTTTTTTGTGAGCAGTACTGGGTAATGGTGTTGCTTGCTTGGACCCCGAGCATGTGACTGCCGACAATTTCTCTTTGTCCGGGCTCGACGTGCCAGGCAATGTGTCAAACCCGCAAGGCTCGGCGATCACCCTGACCACAGTCGGACAGATACCCGGGCTCAACACTCTGGGCATCTCCTTGGTAAGGATTGACTATGCCCCATGGGGTGTCGTCTCACCCCATACAGACCCCCGAGCCACGGAGATTTTGTTGGTCATTGAAGGGACGCTGCTCATTGGCTTCGTCACGTCCAACCCCGACAACAAGCTGATCACCAAGGTTATCCAGAAGGGTGACGTTTTCGTGTTCCCCGAGGGACTCATTCATTTCCAACAGAACGTGGGCTACAGGAGCGCCTTCTCGTACTCTGGTCTCAGCAGCCAGAACCCGGGTGTGGTTCTGGTTCCAGATACGGTCTTCGGGTCGACTCCACACATTGCCACTGATGTTCTCGCCAAGGCTTTCCAGGTGGATAAGGCCATAGTTGGCCAGATTGAAGCGAAATTCTAGTGAACAATTTCGGTTCTTGTGTTTAGTTTGCGCGGAGAAAATGTGACAAATTGTTGGCTTGTGACTTATAATGTGTGTGTCTGGATAATTAAGAAGATATACTTGTATGCTTTTCAGTATTCGTATCAATGCTGATCGTTGGTTCGAGTGGTTTGTCTTAGTTGGTTTTCTGTCGTTCTGATGCTGTGCCCATAGTGTAGAGTTCTGGTTAAACATGGGACACTAGAATATATGAAGAGGCATGTTAGGGATGCTGGGACTTCCTCCTAAGATTAGGGTAATATGTTGTTTGTCATGGTATAATGATCAAAGATTCATGCACAAAGTCATTGATGGCTATTATACTCAAAAGTGGAAGTGCAAACTTAGCCACAGCTTTCACCGGAAATTGACCTACACCATAAAAATCGGGTTAAGGCGTCCGAATACCCAGATGGCCCTCCGAACGTCGCTGGCCCTTAGTGAAGGGAAAGAAAACTAAAGAAAAGAAAAGAAAAAAAGAATAATAGAAAAAAAATTACAAAAAATACAAAAATTATTAACAAAAGTCCACGTCAGTGCCGGTTGGCCAAAATTAGCCGGATGAACTGAACTGACATAAATGCAAAATGTTTCAGATCAAATTGGTCAAAAAAAAATAATTTACGACTGAATTGGCAAAGTTTTAGTAGGTTTAGGACTTTTTTGGTAATCTCCCAAACGTAGTAGTGTCTTATCAAGTGCTATCTACAGCTCGGATATTGAAATCATGTTTTGATGGATCTTCGCATCGGGTCGTGAACTTGCACAATTTGCTTAAAAACACGCGTTAGGAGTCCATTGATTAGTTAAAATCATTTCTAACACTCTCCCCCCATTCTTAGTCTGCTAGTGGTAGGCTGAAAGGTCGAAAGTAAATGGGTTTTCCCTTTTCCTCTTGGGGATTCATGCAAAACACAAAGGAAACCGATGTCACATTGGACCTTTGTACTTAGTAGCCCATATCTCAAATGTTGGACATCGATGTAATGGGCACCATGATCTTTATCAATACACATGTATAAATCCTCAAAAATAAGTAATAGAACTCCTCGATTTGATTCGTTCCAAAAAAAAAAGTCATTTCATTATTATTCATCGCTATTAAACTTAACAAACGAAAATTTGTTTCCGAAAAAGTGTAAATATAAGAAGTGCTGCAAATGTAGTAGTAGCTGTGAATATGCAACAGTAATTCAAGGGCGACTCCACGGATTATGCCTGTGGGTTACACCCTTCTTCGCCTAGGCTTTGGGGAGGGGGCTTGCACGTCTAAACCTGGGTGCATAGGCATCTACGAAGAGCGTTTAGTTGTTGGACAAAAGATATCCCATTCCTTCGCATCATGGTGGCGTGCTCCCCGCCATTGGCCTCCCACCAGGTCAACTTATCCCTAATGCCATCAGGTACATAATAGGGTCCATTCTTGCCTTTCGTCGGGCCGAGAAAGTGTATTCTTAGCTTGTGTTTCTGAACGTCTATAGGCGGACTCTAGTAGCCGACGAGAGAAGTTGGTGGCAATTCTCTCTCGAACACCAGGGGGCTTCTTTCATTTGTGCATACCCTTTGTTGAAGGAGAAGACGGTTTTACTAGGGATCTCCGACAGGACATCGGAATGTCCGGACGAAGTGAGTTGTTCCATGTAAAGACCATTACAGTCGTCTTCTTTGCCCTCACCCGCCTCCCCGGTACTAAGAACACCAGAAGAAGAGCTGGCCCTGGAGGTCGTGGATGTCAAGGGGCTTGACGGGGACATCAAGGGGCTGATAACCAATCAAAGACTCTTCGAACCCAGTCTTCAAGGAGTGGGCTTGCGCATCTAAACTCGGGTGCATAGGCATCTACGAAGAGCATTTAGTCGCTGGACGATTTCCAATTTCTTCACGTCTGGGTGGCGTGCTCCGGGCCACTAGCCTGCTCCCACCAGGTCAAGTTAAGAAGGGAAAATGGCATAAACAATCTAGAAACTTTAGAATGTGGTCTTTGAAATTTTAATTCGTACAATGTCCAATGCGGTCTATGAACTTTCAATTTGTTCAAAATAGTCTATAAACTTTTGGTATATGTTCAATTTAGTACATCGACTATATAAAATTATTCAATGTTTTTCCTGATCTCGAATTAATATAAGGACTTCATCGAACATTTTCATATAGTTCAATGACTACATTAAACATGTACAAAAAGTTCATGGATCAAATTGAACAAATTAAAAGTTCATGGACCATATTAAATATTGAACTAAAGTTCATGCACCATTTATGTCATTATCACACTTAAAAATGCCATCAGGTACATAGTAAGGTCCATTGTTGCGTTTCGTCAGCTTGAAAAAGTGTACTCCCAGCTACGTTTTTTAACATCTATAGGCCAACTCATGTAGCCGACGAGAGGGGTTGGTGGCAATTGTCTCGCAATTCTTTCATTTCTTGGTACCCTTTGTTAGAGGAAAAGATGGTTTTTCCTTGGAATCTCCGACCGGACAATGGAATGTCATTAGGAGGTGGGTTAGTTCTAAATAAAGACTATCACAAGCACCCCCCTAGTACTTCTAGCACGAGAGAAAGAGCTGGTGCTAGAGATCATTGGTACCGATCTTGCTCCTTTTGAGCCTTGGTTTAACAGAGGTGTCTCCTCGGCCTCTCCAATTGTAATATTTGGATTTTTACCAAGCAAAAAAAAAAGAAAGAAAGAAAAGCAAAAGGGTTGAAAAGTCAAAGGAAGAGAAATAAAAGAGAAAAGAAAAAGGGGCACTTCAGCTCTCTTTAACCGAGAGCTTGCACGGCCGAGAAACAGAAATGGAAAAGGGGCAAAAAAGGAAGAAAGAAAGAAGAAGAAAGAGAGCGTACGCTCACCTCGGGAACCTCGCTAAGTCAAAGTTACTTCATATCGCAATACTCCGTAAATATTCGCGCTCCTCATTCGTCTAATCGAAGTAATATTTGGGGATTATGGCATAACTTTCGATGATATAATAGATCATTGATGTATGATTTGAGTTTGATCAATAAAATGGACCATTGACGTGATTTTTCAAAGAAATTGATCGAATGGACTTGACCATTGATGTCTGATTTGATATAATGATTTAAACAAGTATTTCTTATTTGTATAAAGTATGAGCTTCTGGTATATATATATATATATATACATATATATATAATAATGATTACTCAATTTACTTAGAAAAGATACGTACTACTTACTGAGTTATGGTTGCTCACTTCTCATTCCCAATCTTTTCATGTTTCTTGGTTAGTAGCCAATAGTGCGAGAGCTATGTCGTGGGTACTTTTGGGAGTTGGATTTCTTGTTGTGGTTTAAGATTGCGTCCTTTTGGTGGAAGGTATTTTTGGGAGTTGGATTTCTTGTTGTGGTTTGAGGCTGTGTCCTTCGGATGGAAGGATGATTGTGTCATCTCCCATCCTGGTAGGTTTCGGAGTGTGACACCAATCCCATCTTGCCTTGAAAACGCCGTTTTTGACTCTTACGTTTTGCTGCATTGGATCCTCTGGCTTTGAGCAGGAAACTGAGGAAGAAACACAATACGTCGATGGGCGACATGAGGAACCATGATGCTGTTGGTCGTCAACTCCAGCACGAACCAACTTTTTTTTGCTTGCCACGCAACTTGCTCCCGGTAATGACCGCTAGGAACTCGGGCACACTATTGAAAGAGAAGCTCACTCCACTTCAACCGGACAAACCCTTGTTCGCTCGAAAAAGAGTAAGACGGGTCCTAGCCAGCCTCGACAAGGCTAGGCTTGGGACACTCACTCCGACCTGCCTAAAATCCTAGAAATCGACTTCCCTGTTGCTTCCCACGGGGTCAATTCATGTTCTCGCTCCGAGAATGAAGAGGGGTAGATAGCTCACCCTCCGAGACTCCTAGTGCATCTAAGGGTGCGCATGGAATGCATTCGGAATAAAAATTACATTCGGAATGCATTCGAAACTGAATGACGTTTGTTAAAAAATTTCGGAATGCATTACGGAGCGATTTTGCATTCTGGAATAAAAATGCGTTTGTTAAAAATACTTGATTCGAATGCATTCTTGATTCGGAATGCATTTTTGGCAAGAAAAAGAGAAGCTACTTTTTGTAGGCTTGATTCGGAATTCTCCTATTTTTTCATAATTTTTTTTCAAAAATACATAAAAACTGAAAAATTCTAGAAAAAATCATAAAAATTTCTAGAAAATAAAAAAAAGTCATATTTCGGGAAAATATGAAAATTGGTGAATTTTTTTTTTTAAAAAAAAAAATTTCAAAAATTTCAAAACTTCACAGAATAGCTTAAAACACATGGTAGCCACCCACTTTGAGTGAAATTTAATTTTTTGAGGTGCTAAAAAATCAAAAATTTCAAAACTTTGAGAATGGCTTAAAATACCGTATGCCACCTACTTTGAGTGAAATTTAAAATTTTTGAGGTGCCAAAAAAAGAAAAATAATAATAAAATAAAAATTTTCAAAACTTCACAAAATGGCTTAAAATACCCGTGGCCACCCACTTTGAGTGAAATTTAAATTTTTGAGGTGCTAAAAAATTAAAAAAATTAAAAATTTCAAAACTTTACAAAATGGCTTAGAATACATTGTAGCCACCCACTTTGAGTAAAATTTAAATTTTTGAGTTGCCTAAAAAATAAAAAAATAAAAAATTCAAAACTTCACAAAATGGCTTAGAATACCCTGTGCCACCCACTTTAAGTGAAATTTAAACTTTTTAGGTGTCCAAAAAAAATTAAAAAAATCAAAAATTTCAAAAATTTACGAATGATTTATAATACCTGTGGCCACCCACTTTGAGTAAAATTTAAATTTTTTAGGTGCAAAAAAATCAACAAATCAAAATAGATTTATGTTCTAGAAATCAATTTACGGAGCGGGAATTAGTCATGTTTTACCAAACAGATTTCTCCTCCGAAATCAATTTCTAAGAATTCCGAAATCAATTTCTGCAAGAATTTGATTTACTGGAGCGGAATGGTTACTATTCGCACCCTAAAGCTCCATGGCGGACAAGGGAAAGAGACCAGCTTCCCCTTCATTTCACGTAGGTGCCAGAGAGTCCGGACGGATCACCATTAATTTTTCCGGCGCCAGCAGAGGTCGGCCGTACAACGGACGTCATTGGATCAGCCATGAAAAAACATTCCTCCCGACAGCATCGGCAACGTCCCTCCGCTCGCTCTTCTTGACGGGGCTTCGACGTTGTTCTCTCGTGTATGCAAGAAGCATTTTGCCTATGACTTTCCAAGTCCTGATTGACGTTTTCCGTCACTTTGTAGGGTCTTGCCATGGTTGCTGACGCTCGGACCAGGTTGGGTGTTTCCTCCCGTCAGCTAGAGCATGACAGGAAGGCTCTCGACGCCTATATGATACACATGTCGATTGACTTTATTGTATGAATTTAGAAACTCTCCCTTCCTACTAATTTTATTCTCCACCAAGTGGTTTGACTATACGCTCAAGACTGAAAAACTTGCTCTGTTTTCAGAATCCGCAGTCCACTCAATTCGATTTCCAATAGGTGCAATCGAATTCGAGCGCGCGCACTCTGCAGCAAATAACCCGGTAAATCAAATTTGCTTCGGTTGTTACGGCGAAATCGCAGCTGTTGGGATACCAAAATGTCATGTTGAAGCCGCGAGTGATCGTAGTTGTAGAGACCTTGTGTTCTCTGTAGTTTCAGAATCGCAAAGAGATTGATCAATCAGCATATGTAAATCTGATAGAATGCTTGCTGCATCATACAAGGAACAGACAGCAACCTCAGGAGTATACTCATTCAGTCTGTATCTGTATAAAATTTACACTTCAAATTACAGATGACGCGACCGATTGGACGATACCGGGCCGACACATATGTATACCTTTCTATTAGTGAGCTCTCTAAATACAAGTTAAAATCCTCGAACCCCTGAAATCTCCAATGCATACAATCTTCGAGACGAAGAACAAGCCGGAAGAAGCTTTTCCTTCAAAACCATCTAAGCGATCAAAGATGAGATCCGTGTGTTAATAAGATCAATCCTTCGCTGAACGAAAGCTTCGTCTACTAGCCCAGATGGATATCGTCATAGCACATCCAAATGTAAGCACAAAGGCCAGAAACCGTCCGCCGAGAAGTCCGGCAAGCACAACCAGCAGGACGACGACCCTGCCCAATTTCAGCTTCGTTTCGCTCCTCTCGTTTTCGGCACCGGTTTCTGATGCCGGGAGAGCCAGCGAAATTGTAGCCAATGTCAAATTGGTCTCAGCTGCCAACAACTGGTCACTTCCTTTGTTACTACATTGTGCTCGTTGCTGACATCCTTCGACTTCGGCCTTCGACGAGCATGATTTATCTGCATTTTCTCCCTGCTCGCCATACTCTTCCTCCGCCTCTCCCTCTCGACCCGCCCCGATACCGAAGCCGCCCAAGTGACTAGCCAAGGTGTTCGACGCTTCGGGGTAGGCCTCGCATTCTTCCTTTTTCCCTTTCTTGGAGGTCCTCAGCTTCTTCGGCACGATCCATTTGACGATCTTCAACTTGATTTTCCGGTTCTGCTTGCGAGCATCGGTTCCCAAGGCCGCGCGCCCATCCTCCTCACCCTCCTCCACAACCCTCACCTCTCCTCCCTCTGCATCCACACACCTCCATCTCGGGTCGTAGCTAAGCGATTCGCCATCCGGCCACAGACTCGAATTGCTCTCGACGGGCACCACTACCCTCTCAAACTTACACTCCACCACCCGATTTCCCTCCAAGGCCGAGCTCGAATCGCCCGGGCCATCGACGGCCTCTCGAGCCGGCTCCGCCGGATCAGAATAGGTAATCGCCCGGGGAACCGACAGACCCTTCTGGGGCCAAACGGACGACGAAATCGCAAGAGCCCTTCCGATCAAGCCCTCGAAACCCGTCCTCGTATCGGGACAGGGTCTCACGAAACAAACCACGCGCTTGCCCACGAACTCAAGAAACAGAAGCAAGAAAGCGCTCATGGTGACGCCGATCACGAGCCCCCTGGTGCTCAGCGCCAGGACCACCACCACAAAAACCTTGAACACCGCCAAGAACACGCCATTCGCAGCCGACCCACCAGCGCAATCCCCACCAGCCTCGTCCCCGAACGACGCCGCCGCCGGCGCCGGCAGCTCCGGCGCGGCGGCGGGGGGTGGAGGAGGATCGCGGAAGGGGTCGGGGCCGACGACGAGGTGGGCGGGCAAGGGGGAGGTGAGGACGGGGTCGGAGATCTGGAGCTCGGGGGGCTCCTCCTCCTCCTCGTCCTCCTCCTCCTGCTGATGCTGCTGCTGCTGCTCCTTCCTGCGGGAGGGCTTGCGGAGGCGATCCCGGTTCTTGACGAAGAGGTCGACGAGGGAGGTGGGGAAGCCGGTCTCGACGACGAGGGAGCCGCCGCGGCGCGGGGAGGACTGGAGGTCGGCGACGAGGCGGGAGATGCGGGTCACCCTCGACTTCTTCCATGGCATGGGCATGATCCCCCACCCCCACCAAACTGACACGCGCGCGCCCTCACACACACACACACGGAAAGAAAGATGTAGAGATAGAGAGAGATGCAGAGAGAGATGGTGCAGGTGGAGGTGAAGGTGGAGGAGGTGATGAAGGAGGAGGAGGTTGAAGGAAATGATGGAATTCAACGTTGTTACATTTCCTCGCTGTTTCTTGCTCTCTCCAGCGGGATGTTTTTTCACGTGACCTCGAACGGGAGGGAGAGGAAAAGGCGAGGAAGTGGAGGAGATTGGCCCCCCCTGCTCCGTGCATACCGTGAGCCCCACCCGATCTCGCCCGTCAAACTACTTGGTCTGCAGGCGGGGCCCGCGTCATCCGACGGACGAGATCCGTCGGGCTCGCGTGGGTCCGCGCGCGGGGGAGCGTTTCTCGGAAAGTGGCGACTTTTAGTGAGAGACAAGGGGGCGGATGGAAAGTGCGCGGGGGGCGAGAGGGGGTGGTGGGCCCGAAGTGGACGGAGAGTGTGTTCAACTGACGCGTTACGGCAGTTTCTGTCTCCCTCTCCGTTTTTTGTTTTGTTTTTTTTTTTTTTTCCGGGTCACGCATTTCTTGGGTTTCCATTCGCGCTTCGCAATTCCGCTCCGTCTTGACAGGGTTTCGCTCAACGGATTTTTTCAATTTAGATTCAATTCGTTAACAAAAAAACCGGCAAATTAATTTGAAAATCTCATTGAAAATACCCCGCCGGCCGGTCGGTCGGTCGGCGTTCCTGACTAGGGATTTTCCGCATCGAATTTGCCGTTCTCCATGGTCATCTGCTAAACGTGCCGAGGGGAAAAGTTGGGTTGGTGGGTTGGAGGTAGAATTAATTTACAATAAATTTATCGCGATACATATTAAATTTGAAAATTTTTAATGGTATTAACGCGTCGGTTTCTTACTGCCTTTTCAACCGAATCGCCCGCCTCGCTGGAGCCGCGATGTTTACTCCACCGTTTTCCTAAACAAATGTGCTGGCCCCGCCTCAACAAATGAAACTGTTCCTCCCCTTTCTTCTCAAAAAATATCTTTCGACGAAGGAGCGCATATAAAGAGAGAGGGTCTTCAGGTTGCGTCCACGGCTGAGGGATTACGACGTCGTGTGGGCCGAAGATTCTATGCTTTCGTTAGGATTTTTGTTATGCCGAGATTATTTATTGGTGGGTTCTTTTCGTATTAGCCTAGACATATGAGTATTTTAGCGCTTTGTGTTTTGCATAGAGATTCCGTGCGTTGCGTTGCGTTGCTCTGCTTTTCTCTGTGCTTCTCGCCTATCCTCTCGAGTGCCCCACTTTGGTTCCGTGCACCAAATTATTAGCTTTCGAGATCACCCGATTTGATTTTTCTGGAATTCTTGCATGCTTATCACAAGTTGCACGCTTTTTGCATAGGTTGTCGTACCAATGAAGGGACCGCGGCTGCTCGCATGGTGCCGCGTGTTGAGGTGTAGTTCATATTCCCTAGTGAATGGACAGCACGGGAGTCTCGTCCTTCCATCAAATTAATACAGTTTGAGCCCGAAAAAGGAAAATTTCCCATTTTGAATTGGTTTCTTAATTTGAATAGGTTTTCTAGAAAGAGATTTTCTATTTTGAATCAAATTAATACATTTATATAAATTTTTTTCTCTTGTAATTAAGAGATGTAATAGTGATGTGCGATATGCTAATTATAGTGGAATTCTCAACTGGACGCTGCTCTAATTTAAGGGTGAACGAGGATAAAACTTTGTGTTTCAAATTCTCTTTCTTGCTTTTACTCTCTATTTTCTTTTGTGATTGTATGGCGAATCCTAACATCGCGGCCATTCGCCGTCGCACTGAACACCGGCGCCGTGCGGAGGAATCGCAGAGCTCGTCCTTCCATCACGAATCAAACCTCGAATCCTCTTCGCCACCGAATTGAGCCTAATGTTGGCGATTTTTCAACCCATCATCATCGGTTAATAGATCAACCGACTTCATTGTAAAAAAAATCGGGTTTATTCTACAACCCCATACGCTTGGACCACGAATCTGCTACGATTCAACTGCTCAAGCCGTCCCACTTAATCTTGTAGCCGCCATCGCCGATTTGTCCAAAAACACTCACTATGTAGTCAATGACGAATCTAGATATTCTATTGGACAAGCTCTTAGGCTCCGTTCGTTTCGCGAAAAATATGTTTTCAAAAAATATTTTCTGGAAAGTTATTTTCCAGGAATATGATAATATTTTCCGATGTTCAGCTGAGATCTGAAAATGAATTAGAAAATTTTTCGTCGTTCAGTATGGAAAATCCTCATTGCACTCCTAATAATTTTTTATTTTTATTTTAGTTTTTAAAAAATTGAAATTTTAATTATAATTGAATTTTGAATAATTTTAATATTTCTTTTCTTTTCTTTTATTTTTTTTTCCTTTTCTTTCTTCCTCAGCTAGTTGCCGGCCACATTGACGGCCGGCAAGGCAAGGCTCGGCCCGATAAGAAGAAAACAAAAAAAAGAAGGAAAAGGAAAAAGAGCAAAGAAAAGAAAATTTAAAAACTAATTTAAAAATAAATAAATGTAAATTTGTGTTTGGTGAAAGAAAGTGAGGTGAAAGAAGATATGAAAAACGTTTTTCGCTTTCTAAAAAGCAAAAAACATTTTCTTCACTTTTAAAGGTGTTTTCTACATTTATGAAAAATGTTTTCCTTAATTAATTTATTTTTCATGACACAAACATGTGAAAACATTTTCCAGAAAGTGGTTTTCCGTGAAACGAACGAATAGTCTAAAATGGACTCGGAGATTCCTTAAACTGTGGATGGCTCTATCTACTAGTCCTTACACTTCTGAACCTTCATGTTTAGAAAAACAAGTTCTCACACTTGGTGTGTTTTTTTCATGAAAAACTCAATAATAAAGGAAAGCATTTTCCAGATATACAATTAATTTTTCTTTATTTAGTGATATATAATTGAAAAAGTTTTCTGATGTTTGGATCTCATTTAAAAATGATTTCAATCTTGTGACTTCATCTTATGTTAAAAAAGAATTTGAAATTTTTAATAATTTTTATTTTTATATTTTAAAAAATCTAATTGTTAATTATTATTTTATTTTAAAAAAATTCGAATTATTTATTTTATTTTTTTTCTCTTTTCGTTTTCCATTTTATTTTCTTTCCTTTTCTTTTTCTCCCTTCCTCCACAGCCACCGGCTAGCAGCAATCTAGCAAGCCTCAAGCGAGCTCCAACCTCGCCAGCCTCGGTCGAGCTCAAGGCGGGGTCGAGCTCGCCAGATCTCGACGAGATTCGAGCTCGCCGGCCTAGGGTGAGCTCGACCTCGCCACGGCGAGGTTGGCGAAGGTCAAGCTTGCCGGCCTCGGGCGAGCTTGGCCTCGCCTGATGTCGGCCCGTGCTTGTGGCCGGTCGCTGGCTGCTGTCGAGGCTAGCGACAGGCAAAGGGAGGAAAAAGAAAAAAGAAAAAGAAAGAAAAAAAGAAAGGAAAAGAAAAAATAAAATATTAACAAATTCAACATCAGTAATTCCGAAAAAGTGTTTTTAGCCTCTCAGATTAGGGAATTCACTTTCCTATTTTTATACATGAATGTTTTCGTTGATCAGAAAGTATTTTTGGTGGACTTATTATTTTCCGCAAATCCAACGGACGAAAGTCCAGAAAATGAATTCCCGAAAAATACTTTTCTTTGAACCCACGCACCTTAATAAGTCGTGATTCGGTATTGGTCTGGACCCGGGTTGATAGTGGCCAAAAAGGAACCTTGATTGACCCGGTTTGGATATTCTATTGCAGATTCTTTTTGTATTAGCCTAGTCTTGAGAGTATTTTGATGCTTGTTTAGCTTAGAGATTCCTTACGTTTTCTGCTTTTCTGCACTAAATTAGCTTTCGAGATCACTATCGATTTTCTGAGATTTTTCATGCTTCAGATCACAAGTTTGCGTACTTTGTACATAGGTTGTCATACCAACGAGGGGACCACCGGCACTCACACTGCGTCGCATCTATTGCTGCGTGGAGGAATTGCGAAGCACTGCCAGTCGGAATTTGCGTTCTTCCATCGCGGATCAAACCTCGAATCCTATTTGCAGCCGGATTGAGCCGAATATTCACGACTTTTTCAAGCCCGCGATCGGCGCTTATTGGATCAACCAACTTCGTTGTCGCGAACCGAGTTTGTTATGCAGCCATGGACACGCTCGGCGCACGAATCATGGGGCATGCCGCCACCATTCACCCACTCAAGAGTCACCGTCGCCTGTGCCACTTAATCTCGAAGCCGCCGTGCTGCTTTGTCTGGAGGCATAGATATGCAGCCATTTAGCTTTATTTTTAATAAAAATATTTTAATAAAAAAATATTATTAATAAAAAAATATTTTCACCGCCATGGCCGCATTGTGCACATAACCAAATGGCCCAAAAAATAAAAAATGTATATTTTTAATAAAAATATTTTAATAAAAATATTATTAATATAAAATATTTTACTGGGCCCATGGCAAACAGCAGCATGGTAAAAAATAAAAATATATATTGTTAATAAAAAAATATATTTTTAATAAAAATATTTTTAATAAAAATATTTTACCGGCCATGGCCTACGACGAGTGCTATGTCCAAAAAAAAAAAAAATACTTTTAATAAAAATATTATTAATAAAAAATATTTTACCGGTCATGGCCTAAGGCGAACAGGCTATGGCCAAGAAGGAGGAAAAGAAAAAAAGAAAAGAAAAAAAAGAAATAAATATTAAAATATTTAAAAATATTATTAATAAAAAGAAATTTTGTGGCGTTATCAAACGCATTTACTTCTTTTTCTATTCCGAGATGGAATTTTGGGCCGTTAACAAACGCCTTAAAATGCTTCCGGAATCAATTTCTGGGCACAGGGAATCAAAAAGAATCATTTCGAAAGAAAATCTGCTCCCTGACACATAATCGTTGTCCATGCGTAATTTCCTTAGTCTAATGAAAGACTCGGAGATTGGCTTAAAGAAAAAACCCAAGTCCTCTCACACTTCTAAATCGGGGTTGGTTTTGCCAAC